GTAGAGTATTTGGAGTGTGATCTAGGCCAAACTGAGTTCACCCCTCCCGGATGTCTTTCCTTGAACACAGTTACAGAACCACTGCTGGGTATGTGTCATACTCTCCATCTCCATATAGCCACAGGAAGTACATTTTTCTTCACCAGTATCATTAAAAAAGATTGTCAATTCAGAAGTGTCTTACATTTAGCATATGTTCTTTGTTATATACCCCCAAAAATGGACATGTTTGTGATTGTGTTGTTCTTTCTTAGGGCCTCCTTTCACACACCTGCGTGACCCAGAGCACATGGTGTATTATGGTCAGGCAGATTGTCAGGCTGACATCGATCGGTATCTGGAGTCTCTCAAATCCCTCTGGCGCCATGTCAGTGGAGAAAGTCCTGTCATCATCAATACTATGGGCTGGATTAGAGGTCAGCAATAAAAATATTGCATGTGAAATAGGAATATTGATTCGAACGGTATATCGACTCATTAATGGATCTTGTATATTTATTCAAATATTAGGACTGTCAATCAATATAATAGCTTGATATACTGATTAAGCTGGGTCAGAACGTACAGTTTTCTAAAATTGGTAGCCCTGTTAAGAATATTTAATATTTATTATTTTGTTTTTAATAGATATAATAAAAGTTTTCATTAGAGTTTCTGGTACTGACTTATCTCGCCTTTCTCTCTTTCACAGGCCATGGCTTTCAGATACTGGTCGACCTCATTCGCCTGTTTTCTGTTACGCATGTGGTACAGCTGAGTTTTGGAAACGCACCACAGTGTCAGCTTCTTACCCCAGACTTCTTCAGAACTGCCCACGGCTGGCAGACACACCCTCCAACGCCGCCCACCTTGACAGAGGAGCCAGCCAGCCACCCCTCCATTCGATCTCATGTATTTCTTAGTGTCCAATCAGAATTTGAAGGTGCTGGGACATCTGGAGAAATGTAAGCTGGCCAGCTGTACCCTTTGGATTTTAACTGTACCTTTGATCAGTTGACAGTTGTTTTGGTGAACATGTAACTAGTTCAGATTGGTCGTACATATTTGGATATTACTACTTTACAAATTCCCCTCCTGCATTCCTCATAGGCAACATCAGCGCAGTAATGAGCTGCGAGACCTGGCTCTGCTCAGCTACTTCAGTAAGCTGCAGTCCCCAGAACCTGGCCCCATCCGCCCGCTCCACTGCTTCATACCCTACCAGGTTTTTATTTTATTTTTTATTTAAAAAAATTATTTTATATTTTAAGTCTTACATTTTTGGCATATTTTGTTTTCATTTTATATTTTATTATTTCATTTTTATTTTTCATGTATGACAGTTATTTTATTTTTTCATTATTGATTTATTTTATATTTTGAATTATTGTTTTATTTCATTTTTTATTTTTGTTATTTTCGATTTTGCTTTTCTGATCATGTATGACTGTAATTCTTTTTTTAAATTTTCATTTTCATAATTCAATTTCATTTTTTTGTTTCTTTTTTCTTTTTAATATTTATCTTATTTTATTTCATTCTATTTTATATTTTTTTTATTTTGAATAGTTTTTCTTTTGTTTTATTTTATATTTAGTTTCGTTTAATTTGTGTTTTATTTTATATTTTAGCAATGTATGATTCTTTTATATGAATGTCTTTTTATGCTCTATTATTGCAGGTCCCACACTCAGCAGTGGCTATAGGTTTAACACACTGTGAGGTTGCGCCCAACAACATCCTCTATGCGGCCAATGCCAGTATAGTGGGATTATGCTGTCTCAGTGAAAAGGTTATGGGCAGAGGAGGTCCTGTTGTACTCTCCCAAACTCCAATTTGTCAATGTGTGGGCCTAGGTGTGTACTCGGGGCCTTTAAAATGTGAATCCGAGATCGAATTGATCTGTCAATTTGCATAGCACCTGCTGTTGCATTACAAATATTCATTATACATCAATGCAAGATTATGCAATCTTCCTTAAAATGTAATTTGCCTGCTGGTGTGTTTTTAAGGTGTTCTGAGAGGGGTAGACATGGCACGTGGTTTGTACTTTCTGGTTACTCCAGTGTCCCCCTCTGTCCTGAGGCATGTGAACTGTCTCCTGCTGGGAGAGATCACTCTGCCTAAAATATTGCTCACCAAGCAGGTACGTGATTCAGCACTATATACTACCGTTCAAAAGTGCGGGGTTAGTAGTGTAGATCATGGACATCCATGAAATGAACAAAGTGTTCTTGTTATACAAAACTATGGGTGCATTTTACAATTTACTCACTGAATATAAAGGTCCAGATGATATATAACCATTTGTGTAAGGGTTATCAAAACTTGATGGGTCTTTGTTTTTTTTTGTCTTGTTCCAGCATGGAGTTGAAGGAGATTTACCTTACGTTACCACAGACTACAGTTTTGAAGTCCAAGGGGCAGGAAAGCTTCACATTTACAAGGGATTGGCAAGGCCCGGTTTTATAAAGTCAAATAACTAAGCTCTTCTGTATGGACTCTGCTTTCTGTGAACGACATTTGTATCCTTGTATTTGTTATATAAACCTAAATATTGAGGTAAAATTGGCCATTGAATGTACAAATCCACATGTTTTTTGGTATACTGTATACTGTGGAGAGATGGAGTGTATGTGTGCATATGCTGTTTCTTTATCTCTTGTTGAATGGCTCCATGTTTAAGATCCATATGGAAAACTCTTCCTCATGTTTTGATTTGCTGTACTGTTACAGTTTGTCAACATGTCGTTAAGAGTCTTTGTTTTCTTTTACCAAGTCACATTCCCAAACTAAGATAATGCAGACTGTAAAATATTAAAGTGGGTTTCATTTTTGTCAAGAAGTTAGTCTTTCATTGACCATGTTTTTTTTGTTGTTGTTTAAATTGAGAAGTGAATAGATTAGTACACAATTTTGTACTGTAGAATGCAATATAGTACTGTAATGATAAAACTGCTTGTTTTTTAGCATTGAAATGATAGTAGGTTATTTTAATTCAACTTACTTTAAATGTCATTTTGTTGTTTGTTGAGATCCCCTAGTTGACAACCAATGCAAAAGATGCCTAAGTTAGGTGACTTTATGTGCATTTATTCACTGCACTGTATCTGTGTTAGATATGAACATACAAATTACACAAACAACACTGGCCTTTGACTTCACAGTATCTGCCTTCTCTTGCTGCTTTACAACATATTATAACATTCACTGTATTTACCAGCAGGTGGCGCTACAGTTTTCCCATTTTCACTTTCAAAGTACTTATTGGCATGATAATCAGTGTTGGGAAGGTTACTTTGGAAATGTAATAGGTTACAGATTACAAATTATCCTATTTAAAATGTTATATGTTGTGTAACCATTTCAATTGTTTTATGAAAGTCTGATTACATTAGATTTTTTTATTTCTAATGAAAGTTTTCAACTTTTTATAATTTATATAATAATTTTTAAACTATAATAGTTTATAATAATTTTCAAACGTTTAAAGCAGGCAGGGTTAAACTTACTGTAGTGCTCAACACTAATTACTGTCAGACTTTCAAAATTGGTTATTGCTTGAATTAAAATGATAATTTAATTTTAAAGCACAGCCACCACAAAATCAGACTTTCACCTCTTTTTACTTTGAGATCATTTTGAGGTTAAATACAGATTTAAAATCATAACAAGATATAGTTTAATAGCTATGATACTGTTTTTGAGATCAAATCTTTGCATATACTCCTTGAAATAAAGGTGCTTCACGATGCCATAGAAGAACCTTTTTGTCTAAATGGTTCCATAAAGAACCTTTAACATCTGAAGAACCTTTCTGTTTCACAAAAGGTTCTTTGTAGCGAAAGAAGGTTCTTCAGATTATAAAAAGGTAAGAAAGAGATGGTTCTTTAAAGAACCTTTGACTGAATGGTTCTTTGTGGAACCAAAAAATGGTTCTTCTATGGCATCGCTTGAAGAACCTTTTGAAGCACCTTTATTTTTAAGAGTGTAGTTATGACAGGAAACACTGACAACAAAGCCTTGGGGGAAAAAAACAGTTCATCTTAAAAAAAATAAAGCATAAACACAAATAGCAAATAAAATAGTTATTGAATAAGCATGAGTCCTATTCTGTCCTTAACTCCTAAAACATGGTGTCTCATATTTTAAAGAAGTCAATGCAATCTGGGAAAGAACTAAATTCTCTCTCTCTCTCTCTCCCTCTCCCCCCTTAATTCTCTTATTAAAAATAGCAAATTATGTTTATCTGAAAGTGTAACAATGCAAATAGGTTTTCTGTAAGGGGTAGGTTTAGGGGATCGAAAAGATTGTTTGGTCAATATAAAAGTAAGAAAAGTCTATGGAAAGTCCCCACAATTCACAGAAACAAACGTGTTTGTGTGTGTGTGAAATTGAGATGTAAGCCCCTTTGTAATCGTTTACATATAAGTAACTAAAATTTAATTACACATTTGTTCTCACTAACTGTAACAGATTACAGTTACATTTAATTAAATTACGTAATTCCATTACATATAACTAGTTACTCCCCAACACATCATTTTATGTACAATATTGTCAAAGCAGTGCACACACACACACACACACACACACACGGTAAAAGAAAGCAGAAATAATAAAATACACATTTTTACCTTTATTTTAAACATTTTAATGTTACTTTATATAGGACTACATTTGGTTTATTTAATTTTTGAATCATGTGATGGTAATATGCAAACAATATAAGAAAAATTGATACGAGAATACTTTTAAGGTTACTGTTTTATATTATTGTAACATTATTACAATGTTTAATAATAACATGACTTCTATTTATTTCGTTTTATGTGTATGGAACTTTATCACTGATATTAGCTTCTTTTGTATATTTCACTTCTATACAGTTAAAAACGACATTTATTTATCTACGTATGAAATTTTGTATTTCATTTAGACAGAAATCACATGAGTAACATGTTCAACTTAAAACGTGTCAGTTTCACTGTACTTTGGTAAGCACCTGCCAAGCCCAGAGAGCGTGACGTCATCGCCAGCCAGACGTAAACAAGGAAGAGAATAAAAGCGCCTAGCGAGCAGAGCTCCGGTTTGTGGTGATTAAAAGTCAATTCAGCTCAGGTCCAGCTTTATTGGTTTTTCCGCGTTTACTGTATATTACTTCCACAAATTAATTAACAAATATTTCGTTATATTGAAAACGTCTCATAGTCATAAACACTTTTAATACCGAATAATTGCTGAAATGGACCTCAAACACAGACAGATACTTCAGAGGAACAGGCTTAATCTAATCACGGCATTAAGTCCTGCAGACATCTGCGATGGACTTTTGTCAAAGGGAGTCTTCACCCAGGACATGATCGATGAAATACAGGTAACGTAATAGTCATGTCTTTGTTTACATAGATGGGAAACTGGGAACGGGATTATGAAAGTTCACATGTGGTCATTGTGAAAGTTCACAAAGGAACAGTACAATTTATTTATTCACTCACCCTTATCAGCCCAGTATGACTTTCTTTCATTTTGCGTAACACAAAAGAAGAATTCTAAGCGTAAACCCTGTCACAGTCACCGTTCATTTATTTTAATTGTATGGTAACATGATGCACTGAAAGTGAAAGGAAACTCAGACTGTCAGTTTCTAACAATCTGCTTAACTGTCATGCTTCATACAGGATGTTCACACTTCACTTGTTAATAATGTGCATTGTTTAGTTTAGTTTACAATTATGAAGATAAGATGATATGACCATTCCTGTGTGAGTGGTTCCCTTGTTGCAAAGCTGCAAATGTGGAACATTGTTGTTCTCCTAACAGAGCAAGATAACAAGACGTGACCAAGCCAGGCAACTGGTGATAGACTTAGAGACGAGAGGGAGTCAGGCTTTTCCAGCTTTCCTGGAGTGTCTGCGTCAAACTGGCCAACATGCCCTCGCAGAGCTCCTTCAGTGTGGAGATGGTGCTCGTCTGCCTCCTTCTGTCCCCATACAGCCTTCGCTGATCCCTCTGCCAGTCCGTAAGTGTGTTACTTCCATTAAACACACAGGATTTACTTGGATATATTTACTTGGGATGTTCCCATAATACAGTGGAACATAAAACACCCCCACCTACCCATGATCCTCTTGAGCCTTGCCTGTAACTGGCATTCTGCTATGATTTTTCCCTAAAGTATATTAAAGATGCATAGAGATATCTTATTTAATCTTATGATTCGATGCAGAAAATCCAAAGTATACAGAAAAACCTGACAGACCTGATTTTACTCCATCACGGTTAGGACCACTGAGACCAGAACGACTCCCTGTGCCCAATCCTCTTAGCCCATGTGAGTCAGTCCTGTTTTAATTCTCAATAAAGTATGTTAGTTCTCATCTGTGAAATACTACCAATTAAAAGTAAAGGGCAATTTGGTTAAAAAGCATGAATAACCTTTGGATTTATGCATTTACACAGCTTCTGAAACTCAAGCTGTGAGACCAACCAGACAGAGAAGAGACAGTATACAGGTAAACGTGATCATTCTCAGCAAACAATCCTGAATGTTTTAAAAGATGATTTGTTTAAACGTTTTAACTGATAATTGTGTACAAGTGTTCTTACTTTTGTGTGCGGAAAAGATTCTCAAAATTTAGAAGTGTATGGTTACCAAAAAAAATAAATAAATAAGCAGCACAACTGTTTTCGACATTGATAATTAGAAATGTTTCTTTAGCACCAATGCTGTTATATTTTAATACTACTTTTAATATGTATTCATATAAAAAATTTAAATAAAAGAATGCAAATATGTGCAAATGCGCATATTTAAGCATCTAACACTACTGTTGAAATGTTTGGAGTCAGTGAGATATGATATGGCTGCTAAAAATTCAGCTTTGCCATCACAGAAAGTAATTACATTTCAAAATATAGTAAAGTAGATAAGTTCTGTCATGGCAACTCTCTGAAAGATTAGTATGGTAATATTTATAGCAATGTTAATGCATTTGGTCTTGGCGGAATAGATCTGCTACTCTGCTGCTGATGAGGCAGAGCAAGTACTGATACTTGCTACTGTCAATACATCCACAGACATACTGCTGTGAGCATGTAAGACTTTCTGTTGCTGCACATATAACATGCATGAAATTACCCGTAGCAGATCTAGACAGGTGGAGCTGGGGAAAGTGGAAGGTTACAAAGCGTGCAGCAAACACTGGCCAAGTATTTGAATGTTGAGCAGCGAGCTCATTGGCTGCTGATGCAACATAAACCAATTTGCTGCGCCATGTGAATAATGATGTGATTATATCAGACTGAGATAGGACTTATCAGCCTGTGCCATCTAAAGTTTCATGACAGAACTGAATTTGTTTTAAATTGTAATAAAATTAGTTTTTACTGTATTTTGCTGTATTTTTTGATAAAATAAATACCACTTTGGTGAGCATAAGAGACTTCTTATGAAATTTTTTTTGTTGCGCCATTGTACCTAACCACTCACTTAATATTTTTTTGTGCAGTGCTATAAGATGGATGCCAGTCCTTGTGGGATCTGCCTGATTATAAACAATGTGGATTTTGACCCAGACTGTGATCTAAAAGATCGAACGGGGTCGGACATTGACTGCGACAAGATGGAGAAAAGATTTAAAGCTCTCAACTTTGAGGTTATTGCAAAAAGGAACTTGAAGTACAAAGTAAGCACAGTGCTTCCTCTTCTTCTCACTGTAAACAAAGCAGTAAGATAAAAGTCTGTCTTTAATACATTTTAAAAATGAATTTTCTATCCTCTGTAGCGCATAAGACATGAGATGGCATCTTTAGCAAAGAGGGATCATTCTGCGTATGACTGCTGTGTGGTGATCATCCTTTCACATGGTACTGAGGTAAAACCAGTCATATATTTTCTTCAAAAAAAAAAAAGAGGATACATGTGACATTTGTTTTTCACATTTATGAAGACCATTAGTTTTCAACAAAGAAGTACAACCTGCAAAGACATTTTATTTGCTTCCTCACTTTTTGTAGAACACCATCAAGCTATCCAATTACAAAAACATTAGTGCAATTTTCTCATTCTGCTTTGGTGCTCGACATTTCTCTAATGTTTAGGCAAACCACAATCGTTTTCCCGGAGCAGTTCATGGTGTTGACGGACCAGCTGTCCCAGTTCAGTTAATCACAAACTACCTCAACGGCCAGAACTGTCCTTCTCTGCAGGGCAAGCCCAAACTGTTCTTCATCCAGGCTTGTGGAGGAGGTGGGCATCTCAGAAATCTTTCACAAGTCTTGTAGCCAAAAGGTGTGGTCACATTTACTATGGTTCTGCGAATTTCCATGTTCAAAATCCAGTCATTTCAGTTTGATTGTTAAGGAATATTGTTTGCGGGTCCAAACATCTAGGCCGATCTGTTTCATTTGAGAATACTATCCCAACAGCACATTTATGAGCACTATTTATTCATATCACACATTTAGGGCATTGATATACTCACAGAGAAGTTCTTTTTTTGTTCTTCATTTAGAGGTAAAAACTAGTTTGAATGCTGCTGAAAATGATGTTTTGATGAATATATAAATGCATGCTTTCATCTCTGTAACAAAAAAACAACTAAAATGACTGGTGAGAAAACAGCAGCTGAATCATAGGTGCAGATATTTGCATGAGCGAACTTCATTTTGGCCTTTAGTTATTTAGAAATTATATCACACCAGTTAATTCTTCATTTTTGCTTAAAGTATACTGGACCTTTAAGCTAAGCTTTTAAAAACTCACAGTGTACATACTACAATCTTCATGCTCACAGCATACCGGACAACAATATTTTAATGATTCATAAAAGATGAATCACTGTCTGGCGTAAGCTATTAGTCTTACAGCTCACCATGAAGAATTTTCCCCACACAGATTTCGCAACTAGTTCAAGTTGAATTCACAGTTTTAACCAACAGAAAGCTGCTTGGTTTGTAGGAGATTTCAGTGTGAGCTGTGCTTCATACATCGCTACATTATTTATGATAGACAATGGACCTTTTCCAAAATTTTGCTAATGTGACCATACCTAAAAATAATCAGAGGTTTTGAAATAGAACATTTCCTAGTGTGCTGTAGTTTTTCAGATTAAGCTAACTTTTTTTCTTCTCACCTGTAGGTGAGAAGGACACAGGTTTTGAGGTTTCTCCAGATGAGGTGGAGCCCTCTTTGGGTGGGATAGATGACCAGATGGACGCTATTCCCATATCCTCCAGCAGTGACTCTCTCAGCACGTCTGATGAACTTGATGCTCGGGCCACTTTGCCTACACCCAGCGACATCCTGGTGTCCTACTCAACCTTTCCAGGTCTGTGTTTTGTCATTACAGAATTACATGTTGTGCCTTAAATTGTTTTTCTGGTTGATTAATATTTCCCTTTTGATTGGCAAACACAAGTAAATGACTCATGCTAATGCATTTGCAGGCTACGTCTCCTGGAGGGACACACAGGCCGGATCCTGGTATGTGGAGAATCTTGATTGTGTGCTTGAGGAGAATGCTGCCACGGATGATCTGGTGACCATGCTAATGATGGTATGTCTTTGTCCCATAAAGCTTCTTAAAACAACTGCTAGATACAATAAATATGTTCTCAAAAATGGAAAAAAACTAAACCACACCAAACCAAATTATGCAATAATAATGCTACCAGTTAGAGTACAGCAGTATCATGGTATGTATCATATCAAGCAGTAGATATTCTGCTATCTTATATATATTCTGCTAGCTTATAGATAATTTGTTAAAAAGATTTGACGCCATGCAAAAGCTATAGTCAGCTCCTCAAACTGCATCGCATACAAACTCTTCCTGTTTAAGTGCTATATTTTCACTGATGGCAGACATAAAATTCATTCATACTTTTAGGTTGCGTTTACACTGAAAATCTGAAAAAAAAAATCTGATTTTGAACTCACATGATGCAGATTGGATATTGTTGCACACGTCAAAACATAAAAATCCACATGAGATCTGATTTCTTCGCATCTGTTCTGAGCTGCTTCCAAATATGGTTTTAAATCAGATACATATCCGATATCTGGACATCTGACCTACGTCTAAACACGTAAATCTGATTCCTATTGGAATTCCAAGCCATCACAAGGCGATGGAGACACATTTGCTCACTATAACTTGTCACATTACGAAGCAGATGTTGCCTGTATACTGTATGCTTGCGCAAAAACTCAACTTCTTTTATTGAAACTTAAACTTAGATCTAACAACCTGTAGATGAAATAACTTATGAAAACTACTGTTATTTTATATTCATTGAAATTTTGTGCTGCAAACATCAATGCCATCTTTAACTACTGGCTGGCAAGTGATCATGGTATAAGCGGGATAATCACAGATGGTGTGCATTAAAGTTAAAGAACCACCTAATGTAAATTATATAAATTTTTATTGCTGTTCAAAACCTGAGGGTCAACCATTTTGCTGAATGAGATCACCATTGGCTATCATTCATGTTTAGGTGGGGATTCATATACAGTAAATGTACAGTAAGTATCGGATATGAGTCATGACTTAAGTGAATGTAAACAGGTGGGAGAAAAAGTTGGATATGGTTAAAAGATCGGATCTGTGCATAAAGCCCTGCAGTGTAAACGCAGCCTTAGGTTTGTGTCCTGTGTCCAAAAAATAAATAAAGCTAAACTTATATTAATTACATAGATTAGTCAGATAGTTAAGCAAAAATAGACACTATGTTAATATCATTTGTGCCTATGCAATATACCAACATGTTTTGGTTTAATTTTCAAGCACAAATAATTAAATTTATACATAATATATAATTTATTTATTTTTAATGTTTTTGCATTAAAATAAATTATATATATGAAATATCTATTTTCTTTAGGTAAATGCTGCAGTCTCCCAGATATCTGCCAAAGGCCTGTATAAACAAATGCCCGGATCGTTCAACTTCCTCCGAAAACTTCTCTACTTTCAGTCTTCACTGTCATGATCACTTGAAGATTTTTTTTTGTTTTTGCTGCAGTGGGAAAACTACCATGTACTTGATATAATGTGATAAAAAAAAAACATATTTGTAATTTTTACATCATAAACTGAACCACGTGAACAGAACATTTGACTGGAATTTTTGGTTTTAACATGATTCTATTTTTAGAATTCTACATTTGCAAGCAGAAGGTGAACTTCACAAATATAAACCACTAATGACTTGTTAACTGTAAAATGCAGATGGATTTTTTTTTTTTTACATTCTATAGTGCACGGCAGTAGGAGGACATTAGACTTTTAATGCAGTTGTGGTTCATTTGTGGTATTTGACGGTGGTTAACGGTCACTATGTTCTTAAGAAATATCTAGTTGCATACTGTGCATCTTTTCTACTGAATAAAAAATACATTTCAGATAAATAAAAATCTAAAATGAATCTTATAGTTCCATTAATGAGACTAATACAGTCACAAACAGACTTAGATTTAGATTTATCATGGGAAACAGATAAGACACTCCGGAGAGGAAGGAAATGAATAGGTCCTCACACACTAACACCAATAAAACGCATACAAGAGCAAAATAACTGTGTGAGAATGTGAAAGCGAAGCTAGGTCTCACTTAACATGTTTAATAATAAAGTGAATTTAAACTGTTATTAACTTATTTGGTACTAAGTAGGTGCCATCTGTTGCAAAAACAGAACATATCTGTTTTTATTTCCTTCTTTTGTGCTTCATAACTTTGGATGGATTAAATAAATAGGAACAGTGCAGCTGCACAAGTGAACAAAAATTACCTGTGACGCAATCTGATCCGTACAAGCCACTTCTCCTTCTGTTAAAGGAAAACTGAAAGGTCATAATGCTTATTTTGGGGTCAAAGCAGCTATAAATTTAGATGCATCACAATCAAAGCGTTTTCCACTACCTATGTTTGTTTCGACCTTATTATTGTCGCCCTGTGTGGGAAGATCTTCAATGGAAACTGCCACTTTCAGAAAGACATCAGGCCTTTTCGATGTCTAAACAGGCAGACATAAATAGCCATTACTGAGGCATATAACTCCAAATAAAGCATGTCAGATAAATGGCTGCTTGAATCCAAATTGAAAAGATAGTGTTTGTGAAAGTGAGAAAGCACAGTGAGGGAGGAGGGGCCAGTGAACTGAGGTTTTACTCAGTATTCAGTACACTTACTGTCAGCACACAGTGACCGAGTGAGGAAGGAGGAGAATGGTCTTGTCTTTCTCTGTATCTCACAGTGCTTGTGTGCGATAGAAAGACGGTTTCTCAGGGCTTTGGTTTGGACAAGCGATATTAAGGGAGTGTGGAAGCTGTATAAGAGGATATATTGAGAATGCCAGTGTGAACATCTGCTGGAATTACTAAGGTAAGTGTTGTGGGTTTACTTAAAAAAACAAAAATAGCATGATTTTGTTGTTTTATGTAATTAATTTTTTTGTTGTCAGTTTGCATGTTATTTGATCAGTTTTCATACATTACTTTTATAATTCATAATGCATATTAAACATATTTTTTCACACATATTGCTAAAGTAACTTCCTCGGAAAATAATATTCTGAAAAACAGAGTTTTATCCTAAGCCAGCAGGAGTACATGGAGATAAATCTTATGCCAAGAAAAGGGATTAAAATTGGTTTGTTGTTGGGAAACATGCATGCTTAATTCCTGAATATGTCTGTTAACATTTGGAGATCTGAAATCAATTATTTCGGTGAACGTTTAGTTACTTTCATGAGATGTAAATGGGGAAGTTTCTGTGAAGAATGATAGAAGGAGAGAGTCTTAGGGGGTGGCCTGTTGTCATGACTCATGGTGAGAATGTGCTGCTGCCGTCTGATTTGCTCTTAACACAGGAAGTCTGCTACCTTCCCCTTTTTTGACTCCCTAGATGTGCAATTTGTTCACTACAATTGAAAAGTGCACTGTACATCCACTGTACTGTAGGTCACTGCAGAACAACTGCTGTGACATGTTGAATGATGACACTCCTGGTGTGTGTGTGTGTGTGTGTGTGTGTGGGGGGGGGGGGGTTATATATATCCTGGTGGGGACTTAAACCTGAATACACACAGACTTATGGGGACTCGTGTCATGGGTACAAAAGCTTATAAATCATACAGAATTACTTTTTTTGAGAAAGTAAAAATGCAGAAAGTTTCCTGTGAGGGGTAGGTTTAGGTGTAGGGTGATAGAAAATATGGTTTGTACAGTATCCCTACAAGGATAGCTGACCAGACTGTGTGTGTTTGTGTGTGAAATAAGTCCCCTAAGTCCTATATATATATATATATATATATATATAATGCTTATTCGCAATTTCTTTTGAATCTGAATATATTATACAATCAGAATCAGATGAGCTTTATTGCCAGGTATGTTTACACATACGAGGAATTTGTTTTCGTGACAGAAAGGCATTTTATATGATGTTAAATGATGAGTGTTTATAGTCTTCTAGACTACAAATTAATTATTGTACACAATGGTTGATTGCCTCAGGACTTGTGGTATTGTAGGTGTACAAATCAAGTTGAGTTATTGTTATAGTCCAAATTAACTTAAAGCCAAAGAAATCGGAGTATGAGTTTGACCTTGATTGATCTTGGCACTAAAATGGATGAAATGATAATATGAATGTAAAGTCTGCATTAAAAGTCAATGTACATGTTTCTCATTTCTGTGGGTCATATAGATTGGTCAAAATATCAAATTAAAAGCATGAAGTGCTAATGAAAATCTTTTTCAAGTATATTCTTTAAACTTCTACATGGCTTCTGTTCATTCACTTAGCTGGAGCTACAATGTCGTCCCATGTCAAACTGAGGAGGGACAGAGTGGGGACAGCGGACTATGATACACAGATTAAAGGTAACGGACGTCCTAACACTGAATACCCTTTAAGATTTCTGAGCAATGGAAGGCAAAACTAATCCAAAACTGTATATGCTTCCAAAATCACAGATAACCAATTTATTAATCTGTGTTGACATTGGTTAATGAAAATACAACTGCTCATACTTTAGTTCATGTTAGCTCAGGTACATTAAATAATATTAACAGATACAATTTGTAAATTTTGAAATCTATCTATCTATCTATCTATCTATCGCCATCCGTCTTGTTAAACTTTGTGAAGTCAACATGTTCCAGTTAACTGTTATTTGACACCTGTCAAATGAAACAGATTAACAGAGAGGAACTATAGAAATATAATCGCGTGCTCTCTCTTTCTCTCCACTAGAGGTGCGTTTGCAGCTGGCGGAGCAGTTGAGGATATTTGACGGTCAGGTGGAGCAGAAGACTCAGGTGTTCCAAGATCTGATCGATTTTTTGCGCAGACGAGGCGAGATTGAGGGGGAGTACGCCCGCTCACTGGACAAACTGTGTGACAGGTTCTCCTCCAGAACCAGGAAGTGAGGATATGAAAAGAAAAGAAAAAAATCACCATTAATGCATGAAAAACTTCTTAACCTGTGAAGAATCTGTATATACAGTAAATAAATAAAAAAGTGGCCACTTATGCCACCCTTAAAAAGCCATTTATTTTAAAGACAGATACCCCAAACATAGCAAGCAAAAATAAGAGTGAAAAATTTAAGGGGGTCTGAATACTTTCCGTACCCACTGTATATGTATATATATATATACAATTCTATATATACTACCTATCAAAAGTTTGGGGTCGGTTAGAAAGTTTGGTAACACTTAACAATAAGGTTCAATTTGTTAACTTGGCTTACATTAGTTAACATTAACAATGAAAAATACTTTTAAAGCATTTGTTAATCTTAGTTAATGTTAATTTCAACATTTAGTAATACATTATTAAAATCAAAAGTTGTATCTGTTAATATTGTTTAATTTACCTGAACTAAGAATAAATGGTTGCATTTTTATTAACTGACATTAACAAAAATGTAAAAAAATACCGTAACAATTGTATTGCTAATTGTTAGTTAATGCATTAGCCAATATTAACAAATTATTGTAAAGTGTTACTAAATGTTTTTGACAGAAATCTTATATGTTCACCAAGGCTGCATTTATTTGTTTAAAAATACAGTAAAATTTGTGATTTTGTGAATTATTATTACAATTTAAAGTAACTTTTTTCTATTGAAATTTATTTTAAAATGCACTTTATTCCAGTGCCATTACTCCAGCATTTATTTGACAAACCTTTTGTAACATTATAAATGATTTTTCTGTCACTTTGATCAATTTAATGCATACTTTCTCAATAAAACAATTAATTTCTTTAAAAAAAATAAAATAAATAAAAAATCTTACTGTACTCAAACTTTAAACAGTAGTGTATATATTTGGTTTTAGGGGAAAAAAACTGCTGTTTATATATAGCTATGTATCTGTTGCTTACCAAGAACTTTATAACTCAGTTCTCTGGTTCTATGCCCCTCAGGAAGGAGCCCAGCCATCAGTCAGTGGTTAACTGCTGGCAGGTGTTGTTGATGCAAACGCGTCAGGAGAGCAGAGATCACAGTTTCTTGAGTGACCGCTACAGCAACACTCTGCCTCAACAGCTTTCACACTGTGTTGAACATGCCCAACGCCTGGCCAAACGGGTACACACCCACCATCACACACACACACACACCATCTCGCTCACACACACATTTTCATATCCTTCCACATTTGCAAAAACAAACACCCACACACTTGAAGGAGCAAACATGCCCCCGTATAAACATGTGGCTTCCTTTGCACTGACACTTTGCAGACAGTGCACAGAAACACCTTTGACATAGTCACCTGCCACTCGCCTGACATTGTAATACAAAGTTGCTAAAATTATCATTTATATTTTCAGAGCAGAGACATTTGCACCCAGTTACAGGATGGACTTCTGAAGGTTACCACAGAACTTCATATGGTGAGCGTAACCCCACATTCCTCTCATTGAGCCACATTTTTCTTTCAGAAACAATTTTTACTTGCGTTTAATAGATTGTAAAATGTCACTGCA